TGGACTCTTCTTCAGGACCTCGTGGTTCTGCTACCATCGCTGTCATTTGGCCATTCCGATGCCGTTGTTTCTGTTTTGACGGCGGTTTTCGGTTGCTTTACTGCAGGTTCAGAGTTGGTATCCATGACATTTGGTTCCATAAACGCTAGTTTGATTCTAGCAATGCTGACCGTTTCTCATCTATCCGAGCATTCGACCGTGACAACTTTGTCTGATTCGCTAACTACCTTGAAAGGTCCTCCATACGGGGGCTGTAACGGTTTTCGTGCACCGTCGTGTCGGACGAAAACGTGAGTGCAGTTTGAGATGCGCTGAGGTACGCAAACTTAGTTTCCTCGGTATCGTAGGGACTGAGGTAGAAGTGTACTCATGTGTCGCCGTAGTTGTTGTACATAGTTAGTCAAGTCCGGTGGAACGTCTGTTGCCAGGTTGAAATACTCTCCTGGCAATCTCAAAGTAGTTCCATAAACTAACTGAGCGGCGCGGCAGCCAATGTCCTGCTTGACACTAGAAAGCATGCCAAGGAGTACTAGTGGTAATTTGTCACTCCACCTGTCATCGGTCTTTACTGCCATCAGTGCTGCTTTTAGTTGTCGATGGAACCTTTCAACAATACCATTGGATGCAGGATGGTACGCGGTGGTCTTTATGCACTTGATCCTGAGAAATTCGGTTGAATGTTGAAATAGGCTACTCTTGAACTGTGCACCTCTATCTGTGGTGATGACACTTGGGACACCAAAGTTAGAAATCCAGTGTTGGGTGATATTTCTCTCTACTGTTTCGGCAGATATATCCTGCAGAAGCATTGCCACTGGTCATCTTGTGAATCGGTCTACACATGTTAAAATGTTGCTAAAACCATTTGACGGAGGTGGTGGTCCAACGATGTCAACGTGTATATGGTCAAATCTGCCATCCGGTGCGGGAAATCTTCCCGTAGGTGAAGGAATATGTCTTTGCACTTTCGATCGCTGGCACGCTAAACAAGCTCTGGACCACTATCAAAGATCTCGATTCATCTTTTGCCAGACGTATCGGTCAGTAATAAACTTCTACGTAGCTCAAACGCCAGGATCTGGAGTGCCATGCACCTTATAGAAGACTAGTTATCTCATTAACAAAGGTACAAATAGGCATGGTTCACTGTTGGATACATCACAGGTGATGGATACAGAGTCATCAAGTGTCACTTCTTCAAGACGTAATGAGGTGTTCACATTGTTTTTCAAATGTTTCAAGTCCTCATCCGTCGCCTGCAACTTTGCCATTTCTGCTAGGTCAATACGGTCACGTTCTAAGACGTTTACGTACATACGAGACAAAGCATCAGCTGCCTCATTTTTGCTGCCTTTGATATACCTTATATCTGAAGTGAATTGTGAAATAAATTCTAAATGTCGAATTTCTCGGGGCGAGTAGTTGTCATGCTTTGCATCAATTGCTTTTGTGAGTGGCTTATGGTCGGTGAATACTATAAATGAGTACCCTTCGAGCATATATCTAAAGTGCTTGATAGCCAAGTAAATCGCCAGTAGCTCTCTGCCGAATGTACTGTATCGCGATTGAGAAGCATTAAGTCGTTTCGAGAAGAAAGATAATGGTTCCCACTGACGGTGAACAAACTGTTGTAGTACTGCGCCTACCGCAACATTTGAAGCGTCTGTCATGATTGCTAGTGGTGCTTCTGAATCACGACGAGAGAGAAGAGTTTCAGAACTTAGAGCCAGCTTCAGTTTGTCAAAAGCATCATGGGCCGCTTGGGTCATGTGAAACACTTTGGCTCGTCCTTGCAATAAATCTGTCAGCGGTTGGGCTACTTCAGCACATTTAGGTATGAAACGTCGATAGAAGTTTATTAACCCCAGAAATCTTCGCAGCTTTCGAAACGAGTCTGGAACAGGATATTCTCGAATTGCATCTACTTCTTGCGGAACCGGTTTAACACCGTTGGCATTAACAATGTGACCCAAAAACTGTAGGGATTCCTTGCCAAATTCGCATTTCTGCGGATTGATTGTAATGCCATATTCACGCAGTCGTTCGAAAAGCGTCCTCAGATGTTGCAGGTGCTCTGTTTCAGATGCGCTAGCTACTATTAAGTCATCTATGTATGCACTGACGAAAGGTAAGCCATGGAGTACCTGATCTATAAATATTTGGAGTGTCAAACCAAACGGCATACGAATAAATCCGAAGGGGGTAGTGATGGCCGTCTTAGGAACATCATTGGGTTCCACAGGAATGTGATAGTAAGCTCGCACGAGGTCAATCTTGGAAAAAATATTTACTTTTGTCATAGAGTTCATAAAATCATGTATGTGAGGAATTGGATACTTATCAGGGACCGTACGCTTATTCAACGCTCGATAATCACCGCAAGGCCGTATTTCCCCTGATGCTTTTTTAGGTACCATATGCAGGGGTGATGACCATGGGCTCTTGGAAGGGCGTATAACTCCCAACTTTAGAAGTTTATCAAATTCCTGTTTTGCTATCTGCAGCTTTTTAGGGTCTAAGCGTCGAGGTTTTGATGAGACTGGAGGACCTTTTGTAAGAATATGGTGCGTCACCGTGTGTTTTGGAGAGGACTTCGTGTAATCCGTTTGAGTGAGCTCGGGAAATTCTCGCAGAAGGATATCGTACTCGGAAGTGTTGTTTATTGGAGCTACGACTAAGTTTATTGTTTATTGTTTTTGTCTCCGTAACGATACCGGTGATAGAAAATTCACCATTACGGCTGACTAGTCTATGGCGACTAGAGTCGACCAATAGTTCGTAGTGTTGAAGGAAATCCATGCCAATGATAGGCGACGATATGTCAGCTATGACGAATTCCCACTGGAATGGTGTATGAAAGCCAATGTCTAGGATCAAAATTCTGGTCCCATATGTAGTAATAGCAGATCTATTTGCCGCTTGTAGTACCAAAGTTGGGTTGGGATGGCGTTTTTCGGAAGGTGTGGGTGGGATCACGCTCACTTCCGCTCCAGTGTCAACCAGAAACTGAGCTCCAGTCTTCCTATCCGTCACTCGAAACAAACGACTGTGTTGTTGTACGCCGGCGACAGCAGTCGTCACTGATCGCCGGCCTTTCCGTTTCCCGATGAAAAGGTTTTAAAATCGCATGGTAACAAACAACGACGTGCTTTACTGCCAAACTTCTTGTGATACCAGCACGTGCTACTTTTAGACGCAATTCTACTCGTGGTCCTATCACGACTACGGGATCTGCTTCTACAGAACTTCGGTGACCGTCGGTTTAACTGCAAAGCCGTCAGTTGTCCTGTAAGTATGTCTATCTTCCTCTCTAAAGCGGCCACTCGGTCGTTTTGCGTTGGCTCAGCAATACTTTCAACCGGTTTAGGCATCCTTTCGTACATACGGTCAGCGATGTCAGCCAACCTGTCAATGTCAATGTCCGCATCTCCGACAGCTAATATCTGCTGAATGCATGAAGGAAGTCTCCGCAGCCAGAGCTGGTAGAATAAACGGTTGTCTACTTTCCTATCTTTCAGCAGACTTTGCATATGTCGCTTAAGTTGTGAAGGTGTTCTGTCACCGAGGCATATGCTACTTAGTAGTTGATCGACAGCCTTCTGGTCAGATAACAAAGTAGCTTTCAGCACCTCCTGCTTCAAAACATCATAAGGTGTGTCTGGGTGGGGCTTTAGTAGTGTCTCCCTTACTTGTTCAGCCACTTCTTCCGGCAAAACAGAGCTTGTGTATCCGAACTTTGTGTTTTGTGAAGTTATATGATTGGCCATGAAGAAATGTTCTAGACGTACAAACCACAATTGTGGGTCATTAAACTTAAAACAAGGCATAGGAAGATTAATGGCACCCACGTACCCTAAATTCGAAAAGTCTTGATTATGAGAGTTTAAGGACATCGGTACTGGTACAGCAAAAAAAATGTTTAGGAACAAGAGCAGGAAAAATACGATAAACAAGTAGGTCAATGCCTATCACAAAGCAGTCAGAGAAATTCTCAGTATATATGTATATCCGTATACAGTTATTAATGACTAGTTGCAGTATCCAACTGAAAACGACAATAATATCCACCCGTAAAACTTGCGAGATTTTAATCACATCACTTGGCAGTTTGTCGAGCTCTGAAATCTGACTCCAAATTTTATATACGTGTCCAGATACACTATCGCCCATTTATAATTCCCGACACTGCTGATCCACCTGCGTCAGACAGCGTAAATATCAGGAGTTAACGTGAAGTATATATCAGGATGTTGTATTGGTCGACGAGCGAGCAAAAAGTCTTTTTCAGTACAACTAAACAAAAAATGTTCGATGAGTTGTTACGTATATCAACACAATACAGCGAAATAAAATGCTACAAGTTGACCATCGACTGTGTAGTGAGATAGAGAAGTGGCTTTAATCACTTCTTGCCTTGTAACTTGATAATTTGACTGTGGATGAGGTTCTGATGGCGTTTCGCTTAAGTGTTTGATGTATTCTTACTGTAGAATGGAGGTTGTGGATGCAGACATTGTGTTCCATGAGTTGAGGTGATACGATTGGTCATGATGATATGTTCCAGATATGGAGAGCATGGATGGTGGTTGGTAGACTAGGAAGAAGGTGCCGGGAGAGTAGTGGCGCCAATGGGCATTATATGTGAAAGTTCCTGACCATTAGAACCTCGTGTCACTGTGAAGAGAGAGGATACGGCACATCGAGACGTCTACAGTTGGTAGCAGTGGGTTTATGGAAATGAAAACAATAATATTATTCAAAAGTTAGGCTTAAGGAAGCCTTTTGAAAGTAGATTCATATAGTTGACGCCTGTTTCCTGGTATAGTATATGACTTCTATCTTTCTGGATAGGTACATACAAACCAAATATCTATCATGCAGATTTGATTTTGTCAGTTGTTAGTCACTACATACACTTCCGTTTCTGTCTTTCGCACGATTGACTACTGTTGCTGAGCATTAAAATTGGTTTGTCGAGCACTGATTTTCATTTAAAGCTATTCGGAACCAATTGAATACTTGTGTCTACACTTCTTTTTGGTTGGGTGATTTGAATCCATGCCTTCATGCATTGACATGAGGACGTCAGCTGTGTTTTATAAAGGTTATTTTAAGCTCCTGATCGCGAGTTTGTGGAGTATGATTTGTTTAATATTCAGGAGGCATTTAAAGACAGTACGGTCTCTTGTTTACACTCACTGACCTACTTGCAGGCACTGAAATATCAGAGTGTAAAATATGATATTGTTCCGCTTTCCCCTCTGTCCAAGTATCGGTTATGTAAGTCTGTCACATATATTTCTGTTGTTTTGAACCGTCGTTTTTGGTGTAATTTATCAACACTACGCCTGCTCTAGTGATTTCAGAAAGCACGTACAACAAATTTTATTAGAGTATGCGGTTAGCGAAGCAATTAACTAGTTTCCACTTGGGTGTTACTTATTCTCCTAATCTGGTCCTAATAGGAAATTAAGAGTTGTCTGAAGATTTTACTCAATAGAGCAGAAATGTAATCACAGTGCTACAGCACTCCACAGATCGTCACTAGTTCAGTTTAGTATCGAAGTGATGTTCTATCTAGCTGTCAGTCTGTACATTTCTTGGGTTTCTTTCTGTCACGGAACGAGTGAAAAACAAGAATTAGCGTTTCAACATGATGCGTGAAGAAGCATGTCTCGACTCGGAAGATGTAATTCTTTTTGACAGTTCTTGACGTCTATAAAAATGAGTTATTTTTGAGTTATTGCATCAAGAGTTTTAGGTGGTGACTCAAGTTTTACTTGGTTTGTAGTGAGTAGGAACTAATGCCGTCTTTGTTGATGTTTCACCGTTTGCTGTTTATATCTTAAATATTTGTAGATCTGCTTGTCTAATATCAAATTGTTCCTATCAACTCGTTCAAAGTCCGTGCTTGGATAATCTTCATGCTTATGCCATTTGGTGGGCTGATCATGGTAATGTAACTCAGTCGAGCACATGTCAAGATACTAAGTTATAGACAACATCTACTGTGGCCGGGAATACTACCTAGTCGCCCAGGTGAAGATAAGGGTAGTGGTGTTCGTACCTGGGACCTGTCACTTGAAATTCGAGTTTCTTAGCCAATGAACCACATCTCTATTACAGCTTGTTGGCTATGTCTCAAGTATTTTGTAGGTAGACAACATTAGATGGAATATAGTGTCAACTCACTTCGTCGCGTTGTATATCACTACATGGAAGTAATTTAGGCATGTGAGCTACAGGTCGATGTTATCTTAAGTGCGTTAGCTGATTATATTAATTACTTTGCACTGAATCCTCATCGGATATTTTACTCCCCGCTTTAGAAGTTTTCTAGCTCAATTTTACATCCAGAGACTTGGGTTTGAGATGTTCCATGTAGTTTCCAAACATTTTTTGGATGTAACGCTTCTAATCAACCCTGTGTTTTGGACTCCTTAGCCTGCGAATCGTGACGGGAGGTTGTAATTTTGAGCTCTATTCGATTTCCTAGTGCCTGAATAGAATATATTTAATGCTGATTTCTGTAAGCTTTGATAAACTAACCTATCTACACAGTCTTTTATGTGATGAGTTTGAATGTAGTAGGTATGTTATTTAAGGTAATTGAGGTCATGCGGGGTGTCTGATGTTCTGTCATCCATCCATCCATCAACCTAGGACCAGGCATTACTGCATAACGGTCCAAGTTGCCACACCTCATATCAGTACATCAAGTGAAAAGGCAGTGAGGCGCAAGATGAAGATGGGAGAATGCAGTCAAAAGAAATATAAAGTACGAAAAGAGAGAAACGAAGAGTGAGAAAGTGGTGAAATTCGGTATAGCATCGTTAAGATGAGGATAATATATGTATGCATCTGCGCCACTGGCATCGGTTCTGAGCTATGTGATCACCTAGAGTCTCCAACCACTGGTTCCTCTTGTCCCGCGGACCCCAACCACCTAGTCTGCATCGTCCCACATGGCTCAAACCAAGTCAGAGACTTCATACATTGATGCCATGCTTTCGTCTGGCCACCTCGAGCCTTTTTCCAGCCTGGACCTACTTCAGCCAACATTGTGTGACGAGGCAATCGGCGACTTTGCATACGTAACACTTGTCCAAACCATCTCAGTTGATGAAGGTTCACAACCTCGTCAACCGACTTACCTCTTCTCCCTAAAACTCTCTACTCTTGACTTCTGCATTACTCATGTGGTGACACTGCGGAATGCGTCCTATACTACGAAGGCAGCGGTGGTCAAACACCTGAGCCTTCTCATGTCTTCCATCTTCAATGGCCATGTTTCATAGTCATACAGTAAAACAGACCGGACTGCTGTGCAGTATACGCGACCCTTAGTAGATAATTGAATATCACGGCGGCGCCATAGGTGGCGTAAGTTGGCGAAAGCTAATCGAGCCTTTATCGGTGCAGAGATTTCATCGGCAACTAACCCACCAGGGTTGATCCTACTTCCCAGGTAAGTGAAGTGGTCAACACACAACCACTCCACTCTCTATTGTTAGCCGCGGTGGGGCACCGTTGAAGACCAATCCTGGAGCAGCAATTTGCGTCAATATTTCGTTTGGTGAATATTTTTTATTTAATCTGAGCTCAGGATCATATGTTGATCAACTACTGCTTAAATCTACACTTATTCGAGATTTGTTACTATGAAACACTTGGAATCGGGCTTGCTTTGTACGAACGAAGTTAGCTGGCTTTTTATGCTTTTTGAGGACCAGTTGCGCCTTGTAATTATTTTTTCTTTTTCATTTTCGTGCAGTGAAGATAATGGCTACATGTAAGCAGACTCTTAGACATATCGTTCATATGCTTAACGCTAATATTACCTGTGTATTGTCATTCTTCTGCTACTTATTGATTCGAAAATTATAGATGCAAGATTTTCAACGAAGTTGACGTCTAATGTTTTCTAGTGTTTCATGGTTCGTTTACTTCTGGTGCTGACCAGTGAAACATAAAAAACGGTTATGCTTTTTATTCACTCAATGAAATCTCCAACTCTATGGATATTTTCCTACACTTACAATATTTCCGGCTTATATAGTGTTTATCGAAATTGTGATTCCAAAATAGGGCCCATGTCACCACATTATTGATTGTCTATTTTTTAGTAAGCAGCATCACTTCACACCAATTTGTTTCTCAGAGGTGAATCATCTCATGATTACCCGTATTCTGTTGCACTCCATATATCGCGTTCAGTTATTTAGGTGTACAGCTACCACTAACATTTCGAAATGATGTTTGACAGTGTAGTAGAGAATATTTGACGATATATTTTTCCATTTCTGAAATCAGTCTGATTCACGTCCATGTACTCCGTTGTTCATGAAGCAACCCGTGTCACAATTGCAATTATCTTAGCACATACTGTGAATAAATCCTTGTTTTTCGTGGTAGTGGACTGAAAGTCTCTTATATCTAACCTAATGAAAATTTACCCACGTTCCCTCAGCGTTCTCTGATCTGACTTTGGATTTTCTAGTTATTGTGCATCTTAGGTGCTCTATTTATTCCTTTTCATCTACTGTAGGGTATTTCCAACACGATTTACATGTAAAAATACCGTCGGTCACACTAAAAGTTCTTTTTCAGAGCGCTTTATTCCCTTGGTTTAGTTGTTGAGGCCTCACTTGACATACGAACCCGTACTATAATAGAGAATATGGGAATTAAACCTTCAGTGTTTGCAAGATCGATATCTATTTTTAAAAATAGCCAGCACCACACGGAGTATACAAAGCTTGTCGAATAACTCATCTCATACTTGAAACCACACTACTTACTTTCTAAACCTGTCACCAATATTGGTTGTTGGTCGTTAATGAATTCCAGTTACTGGCAACTAAAGTCCTTTTTAGTTTCTTCATTGACAAGAAAGAAGATTTTCCATCAACTATTCTTTTAATTATGCTGCTGTTTACTGCCATACGCGAAACTCCAACCAGTAACTATATTTTGCTCGAACTTACAATGATTATTTGATTGTATTATTACTAGAAGTTTCCTTTAAATCGATGGGGGTTTTATAGCCATCCATGAATACCTGTCAGTTTTTTATCCATATGACTTATAGCTTTGGGGATGGCTCCCGTAGAGTTATCCTCGATCCCCCCATGAGAACTTCAGATCACATCGGGTGTTCAAAACCACTAGAGATTTGTTCCAGTTGTCAGTATTGCATAAAGTGCTTGGTATGAGCCCTACTGATAGCTGCTACCTTGACCTGGTGGTCGGACTTGCATAACACTATGATGATGGGAACATTTGTTCCATGAGATTCAACCATTTTAGGAGAGTGTTGAATAGTTATATGACAAAGCAGTTACCATTATTACAGAAATAGCCACACCATGATATGTGTCCGAGGGTGAAGTCGTATTACTGGCTAGATGGTGTGTGATAACAGTAAGGTGTTCTCAATCTAATCCAACTTTGTCTAACACTGCATGTCGAGGTAGGTGGCCACTCGACATACACACAATACGTATAAGCCATCTCAGTCGGTGAAGGTTTACGAACTTATCAATTTCCTTGCCTGGTACCCGTCTCATGACTTCGACATTCTTTACTCGATGACTCCACCGTAAGTGAGCAATGCTGTGAAGATACCTGTGGTCAGAAACCATGAGTTTCTTTACGTTTACTTTCAACGACAATACTCCACAACCGTATTGTTGGACTGGGCAGAGTTCAGTGCAGCATACGCGTTCTTTCATACGTGGTTGGATTTCTCCCTGATGCCAGATATGATATTTGAAATCCGAGCTGAGATTTCGTCAACAACCAACCCATTTAGGGTGATGCAGCTCTCTAAGTGAAGTGGTCAACGCATTCAACTACTTTATTCCCTTTCCTTAAACTACGAGTTGGTGCAGACCAGTTCTGAAACACTATCTTACATTTGGATGGTGCAAAACCCATGCCAGCATATGCAGATTTCTGCTCAAGGTGTTTAGAAAACCCTGCATTTTGTCAGTATCTTCACCATACAGGATAATGTCATCAGCGCACCACTTCCGCACCTGGTAGTTAGTTAATTCATGAAAAGTCGACGGTATCTGGATTTATGCCCATCAGCATATCTATAACAGTCAGAAGGGAACGGTCAGAGTGCACACCCCTACCGAACACCATAGGTTATCGTCAGTTCAGTTGACAACTCTCCATAAACCCTTACACAGTTGCGTTTGAGCAGAGAGCTTTGATTGCCGTTAATTACTTGCTTGGTACTCCATTTACGCCTAGACACTCATAACATCTCACGGTGACAGTGAAATGCCGCCTTCAGCTCAAGAAATATGGCATGTCGACCCTGATATGTTCCATAACCTGACGAAAGGTGAAAATCTGATCGACTGAAGGTCTGAAGCCTGCATGGCTTCCTCTAGCTCCAGTAGGGTGTTGGTTAACTGTAGACCCAAGAATCTCGGACGCGATGTTAGTTAAACTGTTTCTCATGTAGTTGTTACAAGAAAACTCTCCCTTCTTATAGACTGGTATGACCAATAAAGTAGATCAGTCTGACAGGACTGCCACCTAATACCTCCATTAATCCATTCACTAATTTTCTACCTCCATTCTTAATAAAGTTGGGTGACAAAGCACCAGTTGATTCTGCTTTTCATTGGTTCACATTTGAAACAGTCTTCTCAACTTCAAGAAAAATTGATGGACCGGCATCTACGTCCCATGCATGTTCGCTCTAGGTGTTGGGTAACTGGAGCGTTAATATGGTGTGGTAGAACTGTTCTCTAAAGTGTTCCGCTAAACGTCTTAGCCGGCTATTGTGAACGGTGTTTACCAATTCATTCTCAGCCATAGTCTCACTGAGTATCATCTTATTCTAGCTTTGACCGTTAACGGCTGACTTGACGTAGTGGTCCAACACAATAACTGAATCGACAAACTTTGTGTATAAAAGCGACCATTTCAGTTTTATATATTTCAAAGCTTCCTCATTCCGGTCAACAGGTAAACAGTCTTATCGTAAGGAGATACTACAGTGTATCATAACATTTTCGAACTCAGGGAAAAGGTATATCTTCTCCTTTGTGGTGGTCTTCAAACCATCAATTGTGCACCAGTTCTTTTTCATGAAGTCGCATTATGCACTAAATAACTGCAGAGAAATTATTCAAACGTGTTTCAACCAAACGTCCATATTGTACGAAAAGGTTTCAACCAGTGAAGCGTACAGTTCCTAATATCCTACCATCTGTCTGATGAAGTCAAATTATCGATCAATGATGAACCTATAAGGAACCTCATATCTTATTTGGTGGTCGAGATGAAGCTAAGTTTTAAAAAGATGCATGAACATAATCTAATTTCTATTGATAGCGTGTAGACAACCTGTTTATTACTGGATCCTAAGTATGCCTTCGTGATGTGAAATTATTAGCAATTCAGATTTTGTTTTCTGACGAAGTGGGTTAATTAAGCTACAAATTCGTTCCTGCCGTCATTCTTCATAGGTTAGATTTTATTATCTAGTAGTTTGTTTCAAACTTCCCCACATTATTGTAAAAGGTTCATGGTATCTGAATTTTCTTTTTAGGTACTTTGAGACGCAAAGTAATGGTATTGGATTTGGATGAAACACTAATTCATTCAGTACATGATGGAATACTCCGACCAACAGTTAGACCAGGAACTCCTCCAGATTTTGTACTTAAAGTCTTTATTGATCACCATCCTGTCCGTTTCTCTGTACACAAACGACCACACGTTGATTTCTTTCTGAATGTGGTAAGTCAATGGTAGGATTTTTTCCCCCACGCTACGGATGAATGACGTTGATTTTTATGCTTGTCTGAATACTTTTTCACTTGAGCATACTTTCGCAAATATTCGTAGCATTTCTTAAGTATAAATTCTTAAAGATAGTTATTATTTCTCCCTTCTGTGTGTTATAAAATTCAGTATGACCATTATCGGCAACGATGTTTATATCTATATTTTCTCAGCAATGTTGTCATCCTTAACCACAAAGATAACGAATTTCGTTAGTTAACCATTACCGACATCCCAAAAGTCAATGGAAATCGATTACATAGTTACTGTTAAAGATATAAATGTTACATGTAATTGATAGGAAATCATGTGAGAATAGTAACTTTGAAGTATTTCACTCTTTGTCAAATATGCTTGTCTTTGTGTAATTACAAGTAGAAGCAACTATAGCGCTTCAGTTTTCAGGTTTGTGACGACTGATTGATATCAAGGTGATGTTCATCAAGAATTAACATGAGGTGGTGAACCATTGGAAACCTGAGGGCACTGGACGACTGCTTCGTCCTAGTCTGGGACTCAGCAGTATGCACCCGTAATTCTGCCAGGGATGAAATCCAGGACCATTAGGTTTCCGAGCCGCTGAATCGAAATCCAGTGGTACATATTTTACACATATGTTTACCTATTTTATATGTATCTATAACCATGGTGTTGTTTTATTTCCGCGACAACTACAATATAAGATTAGCTTTTGGGGACAGTTAGGTAATCAGCTAATTGAACTGTCTATCATCCCAAGTCAAAGAAGTGAATATATCAGACAAATTTTATAAAAAATCCCATGTTTCTGATTTCTTTACACGCCCCATAATTATTTTTCATTAAAACACTTGAGATATACAATACGAAGTGTATCCAGCCAAAATATCAGATTGTTCTGTACCTTTGTATATATATATATATATATATATATATATATATATATACCACCTTGATTAGAAAGGTCACTCATGACAATGATTATGTTCGTAATATTCTGACTAGTCTTTTTAATTTTGACCGGAACCCATATTTAATTGTTTATCCTTCCTGTCTTACACTATAACTTTTAGATAAGTCAATGGTATGAACTTGTAATATATACGGCTAGCCTTGAAATTTACGGTGCAGGAGTAACTGAATTACTAGACAATGGACGTCATATACTTCAACGACGGTTTTACCGACAGGTTAGTTGTCGTCTTTTTCTCACATCATATTGTTTCATGCTCAATATTTAGAATAAGTTGTCAGGATGTTCTTGGTTCTCGGTTTTCCTGCTTTTGGTAAATAGTTAAAGAGAAACATTTCAGATTTTGTGGAAACTCGTGTTATTTGCGAATCACATACTCACTTACTAGGCTGTACAGTTAAAAATATTACTACTAAACTAGTTGATTTGCTACTGGCCCTATTTTTGATGTAATTTGTATGGAAAAAATGGTCATTTCAATTTCTTTTCTAAAAGCAGTAAGGGTGAGTGAAATTAGTTAGTTTCATTAGATACGTGAGCCGTTATCTTTCTATTTTGATTTTTTGATCGGTTTCTTCTTACAGTTGTTTGGATTGTTCGTTTGGTGGTAGTTTTATCCGTATGTGACCGAAAAATCAGGCAATATCTAGTTTGATGTCGTGTTTCCTATTCACTTGCAGTGTCATTATAGTTGCCTTCTACCCTTTTGAAGGTTAGTAAGTTAATCAGATAGGCAATCAACGTAGAACCTCGCACACAAGTGCATCGGTTTAAGTTACCACACTTCACAGTATTATACAAAGAACAGGAGGATAGAAAAAGAGTGATATCAAAGTAGACGAAGTTGTGTGAGAGAAGAAACAATTTGAAGACATAGGTTAGTGCAAATATTCAAGCTTCAGAAGATATCGAAGAGTTTATATATCTGCACCCGATTTCTAACCATGTCAGCTCGCAATCGACAAGAAGATACTTTGTCAACCTACGTTTGAGTTACTTTCTCTCTTCATCATGGTCACAGTTAGTTAGAATCAATCTTCTTGCATCAATCAGTTTAGACGAATTTGCGAAAATCCAATGACGTCTGCTAACCTTCTGATGTAAGTTACCACTGTTTCTACAGCAGACTTACGATCAAACCGGGTGTCCTCAGGATGAGAATTGCCGTTACGTACAAATAAATGCTTAGCTAACGCCTCCCTAACTACTTACTTGGCGTCCTCACCTTCCAATCAGGCATAGAGAGGATTTACTATCACGTGTTTCCTGCAACCAGCAGTGCACAAATGCACGTTTCCGTACTAACGCGTGATCGGAGTCCAAACTGACACTCCAGAAAGAGTAGCAATCCTCCAACGATGGCTTATGGCAATACGATCTGTCTGTGTCCATCATTGGTTTGATGTCGGCGGACGCCATATGAGACAGTGCTTCTGCTTATACTTAAAGTTTGTGCTGGCTATAAACAAGTAATTGTTGAAGCAGAATTCGAAAAGACGATCGCCGTTGTCGGTTCATTGGCATGGGATTCCGTAAATACCTCCAAGATGCCTTTCCGATTGGTTCAACTTCCCTACTTGAGCGTTAAAGTCACCTGCCACTATGACTACACCTACACGTTTAACTTTCTATTGCAAATTCAACACCTCATAGAATTCTTCCGTTGCATCGTCCGAACTGCAATCGGAGGGTGAGTAGGCTCAGATTACGAGTGGGCATTGGTTGGTCTTACGGTCCTTTACAGGTCTTTACAGTTCCATTGAATCAAACAGCGCACAGACGGTTGTTGACTAATCTATAGTCGAGAAGTGCACTTGTCCTTGTTTTTTGCTAAGTGCAGATGTCTCTGCGACCCGATCCCATATATTTGATTCATGAAAACTCATCCTGACTCATTTTCCAAGGTATTAAACGATCTTTTTTAGATTGTTAAGGATAACAGCCAGTATTCATTTATTTGAACAGGTAGACAGATAAATCAACGTGGAACTTGGCATGGAAGTGCATCAGTTCAAGTTGCAAAAATTAATTGCAGCATGCAAAGAAGGAGTGAATTGAAAGAAGAGTGATATTCAGGTGGACAAAAGTGCATGAGAGTTGAGAAAATATGAAGATGACTGATTAAAATATTTTAGACTACGATGAGAATGAGTGTATACATTTGTGCCGTTACGTTCAGTTTTAAATCGCATCACAAAGAGTCTTTAACCTATTCGAATAACAGTCCTAGCTGGGATACGGAAGATACTTAATTTCTTCAGAATTCTTTTGATCGTTGATGATTTTAATTTACTAAAACATACAAAAAAATTCCCATTTAATATTCACAGAAGGATAAACCTCTCAAAATCCTAGATCATTCTTACTCGGGAGTAGCAAATTAAAACAAGGCAGTGGGTTGTAGGTCTTGAAGAAACGACAGTAGTCAGACGTTCAATACTCATCAGGTTATAAAGCCCAATTATGTTAACTCCCATATTCATCATTTTCCTTCGTTTGAAGACAACACTTTACTACGTCAGTGGGAAGGTTTATTTCATTTTAATTGCCAGTTGAGTGACAAACAAGTGTACCTTGTTGAAAAAGATTGTCTACTCGAACACGTCTGATTGCACGAAGGGTTATGTAGATTTGTTATCTGTACTCACCATCAAGAGCCTCCACCATTATCATTGTTTCTACCGTTTTGAATAAGTTTGGTGATCACCTCAGAACTTAATTTGGTTTGGTGAAGACATTTACAACATCTTTGCTACAGACTTGGATTGGAAGCTTAAGGGTGTGTAATATTAGTCTTGCATCTACTAACGACAAAATAATGCTCCAGGACTAATTTGTCATAGTATATAGTTCAAAAACAAGTGAGGTTTGGTGCTTTGTTTATTCAAGAATGGTGCTAGCTGGGATTGACTAGTAATTCGTGGGTTCTCAGGATGGATAGAAAAGGATTCTTATTTTGTTAACCTGTATCATTCTAAAACTGAAAGACTAAAATTACTGGTCATCGTTTTGCTTAGTGTGTGCGTCGCTTTGAGACGGCATTCGAAATCCACTCACTAACCTTGCGCAGTAGTCAGTGAATCGCGCCTATTTTGTTGAGAGTTAGTGATACTGCCTGACTACCCAAACCTCGATAGGTGGAGCTCGGTTCGGACCCATGACCCATTGGTTGGAAATTAAGTGCCTAGACCAATGAGCCACAGGTTCCTTGAGAGGATATTACCAGGCTGTAAGTCGTTCACCAATGATACCTTGGAAACAGCTTTCATTTTTCAGTGAGCGACTTAATTTAAGAGACCAAATAAGTTGTTGAACTTGTGGATCTATATCAAATAAAATAACTAGGATACCATTCATGCATATGCATAGCCATCACCTACCTTAACATCCCATGCTATATCGGGAATAGAAGTAGAATGGTAGAGACAGTGTCAGAGACAACTGGTCACTACTCATGAGTTAAAGCATTAAGGTGATAGATTAGAGGAAAGGGTTCAGCATTGTTGAATTAAGAACCAACAGTGGTCTAATGCAGTTTCTGTTTGCTGATTGAAGAAGTGTAGAGTTGAGTTTCCCTCTTAGGTTGAAGGTGACCGACTGTACCCGTAGAAGCCTCAAAGTAAATCTCTGCTTTCGTATACAGTTAGTTTATTTGATATAGTGCATAACAATAGTTTTATTCACGGGGTAGTCTTTTGAGTACAACATATTCCTCATAACTATGTCATATTTGATGAAAAACAAACTGTGCTTGAAACGTCATCCGGTAAATAATATTCTTTTCTTTTCTGCAGCACTGTACATATGACAACGGTAGCTATTCAAAGAATCTCTCACTCATCACTTCCGATTTGGCCTCTATATTTATACTGGACAATTCACCTGGTGCCTACCGCTCGTATCCAGGTAAGGAATTTTTTTCTGAGCACTGAATTTCAACTTTATTCACCATGTGCTTTCATATTTTTGAAAAGTTTTATTCACTCTGCAGTCGTACGGATATGAGGTATGGCAGCTTGAACCGTTATGCAGTAGTGGTAAGTTGTACGCTGATTTCCTGTCATTTTGCTTGTTGTGAAGGGTAGCAGCTGTACAGGGTTCTGCATTGTTTGTTTATCTGGTTTGTATTCTCGTCTTTTCGGAATATGTTAGATGAAATGGTTATTTATGTTGGTTGTTGTATCTGCTTAGGCTTTTCTATTTCATCCCATAGACAGACTGACAGCTAATCTAGAATTAACCAGCATCTGCGGTATTGGATCCTAATTATCTTCATATTCTTTATTTACTCAAACCAGATATGCTCTTCATTTTAGGGTTGGTTATATAACGTGATTGATTTTCACATTGTTGACATACCGTTTACGTTAGTTGATCGCTGCTTCAAGTGTCACTACAATCGATATTTTGCGTTACGCGTTGTATTATCCTAAATAAGAAAAGTAAATCACCAGTCGGATCGGTTGCTTTATTGTAACGCTTATTCCATAGGATAGTAGTTAGTCGTGAACGTACGCGGTATTCTGGTTATTGTGCGACTCATTAGCTCAAACACTTAAATTTCAAGGCTCAAATCTTTCTTCGCTTACATAGACGTGAACAATTGCGCACAGTATCATAGATATGCGTACATAAAGTGTGGTTGATAGTCTAACGCATAAACTCATACATCTTCCCCGAATTAGCTGGTCTGCATATCATTTTTATAGTCTGAAGTATAGTTTTTATTTATCCTTCCTAAAAGAGGAACAGTAATAGAATGTAATCAGAGAAAATTCTATTCACGATAATAAATGATACTGCTGCTTCTGCATATGCCAAGCTAATATCCACTCATATCTACCTATTTCGGAATATAAACATGGTCAATTTCTTACTATCTTACAGATAATGCTATACCAATTCGATCATGGTTCTCGGATTCACGTGATACAGCTCTTCTGTGCTTATTACCAGTGCTAGATGCGCTTAGATTTGTGAGCGATGTACGTTCAGTACTGAGTCGTAATTTGCATAGACCTCAATCTATGCTACCTTAGTAAGCGAAAACAAAAAGAAATGTATTTATTTTGGTACCCGGCGATCTTTTTATCTACGCTTTTTTGTGTAATCAGATTTTATAGGTGTTGAATTATTAACTATTAGTATATGTTGTATATTAAAAATTTACTTCACTTATTTCAAATTCTTTCTTAAATTATTCTAATGTTTTAATCCTATTTATAACTGCTATTTCTTGAAAAGATTATTGCCGTAGATGATGCACATGTGTACATGATATTCTTGTGTTCATTTGTTCAGAGTTTTTTTACCTCACAAACACACATATACACATAGAAGATATGTACTAGGAGTTTTTCATGATAAAGTTACAGCTAAAAGCGTGTTAGTGTCTTTGTAAAGTAGGTTTTTCTTTTCAGTGATATCTACAAGGATTTTGTTTCGAATATTCACGCTTCTTTTTTTTCAGTTCTTGCACTTCAGAACTTTCTCCATTTCTTCGCTTGTTTTTTGTCTGTTTGTCAACTTACTTATCCTAATAATGCTTTATTGGACTATTGTTATTATTATGAAATCCGTCCATCAGCTTTCATGTAAATAAATGAAGATGAAAATTCATTTCCTGCAATAAGCTTAACTTCTTTCTTTTTCGAAACACCACTGAACAAAACCCAATTTGATGCAGTGAAATTCCAATGAAGATTACCATTATTCCGAGTAAAACAATAAGAAGGTGCGTAAAGTAATAAAAATTCTACAGATATCTATTCACACTCAGATGATGATGAGTCCTAGATAGGGCAAGACCCGCATCATGAGTCCTGTGAGGTACATGATCTATAAATTTGTGTAAGGTTTTGTCAGTATTTATCAAACCAAACAGCATACTACTGAATTCAAGTTATCCAAAGGGACTAGTGATCGTAGTATTAGGAACATGGTTGGCTTCTATGCAAACATAGTAACAAGTTAGCCCAAGATCAATTTTTGAGACTATATTTATTTTTTAAACGGAGTTCGTAAAATTATATACCTCAGGAATAGGATACTAACCATCAGCAGTGCGCTTATTTAACACTTTGATTACCACAATGACACCTTTCTCTGGATTTCTTTCTGCTAGCCATAGGCTGGTGGAAGCGCGTACTACTCTCAGATGCAGGAGCTCATCGAATTTCTGCCTTGCTATCTACAATCTTTTGTAATCTAAGTTCCCAGATTTTGATGAAGCTGTAGACCCTTTAGTAACAATATGAGATGTTACTGTAAGTCCTAGGGAAGACGTCCAGCAACCCACCTGCATGAGCTCAGGGAATTCCCGTAGTGGGGCATCATACACAGAAGTATCTGTTGTTAGGGCTAATACCAGGATAGTTGTATTTGTGTCAGTGAAGATGCCCGAGATGGAATACTTGCTATTGCGACTAACCTGTGGATAGCGACTCAAGTGAACTAGTGATCCTTGGTGTTGAAGAAATTGTGTGTCAATGATGAATGACGAGATATGAGGAGTGGTTGATTCTCACGGAGATCTAGAGTCAGAACTCTGGTTCTATGCATATTAGAAGTTGTTCTGTTGGCCACTTGTAGTGTTGGGGATATGTTCGAAAGTGTTTTCGGATTGTGTGTGTATGGGTGAGATTAAGCTTACTTGGCCCCAATAACAGTCAGTATCTGTGTCCTTGTCTGCTCACCTGTCAGTGGAAGCAAACGACTTTGCATTCGTACACCGGTGATCATTGGCGCGTATCTCCCGGGTTGTCCGGGAGCGTACGCGTTTTAGAATCACGTGGTAAGGAACGAGGAGGTGCTTAATCGCCGAGCCTCCCGTGGTGCCGCAACAAGAAGATTGTCAACGTAGTTCTGCTTGTGTTTCGATTGTGAGTATGAGATCTACTTGTGTAAGAAATCGGCGACCGTCTGTAACTGCGAAGCCACCAGATATCCTGTTAGTATGTCAATCTTCCTCCAAGAAGTGACTTCTCATTTCCTCTCTGTTGGCTCAGTGATACCTTCCACCTGTTTTGGGATCGCTTCACATGTAAGATCAGAAACGCGGGTTAGTCTGATGATTTAATTGTCCACATCTCTTAATGTTGGTGCTTGTTGAATATCTGGTAGAATTTCGCATAGACAAATCTGATGGAATAGATGGCTGCCTACATTCTGATCTCCCACCAGACTCTCCGCATACCGCACAAGTTGTGGAGATGTTCTGTCACCGAGACACGCTACTTAGCAGTTTGTCGAGCTCTGAAATCTGACTCCAAATTTTATATACGTGTCCAGATACACTATCGCCCATTTACAATTCCTGACACTGCTGATCCACCTGCGTCAGACAGCGTAAATATCAGGAGTTAACGTGAAGTATATATCAGGATGTTGTATTGGTCAACGAGCGAGCAAAAAGTCTTTTTCAGTACAACTAAACAAAAAATGTTCGATGAGTTGTTACATATATCAACACAATACAGTGAAATAAAATGCTACAAGTTGACCATCGACTGTGTAGTGAGATAGAGAAGTGGCTTTAATCACTTCTTGTCTTGTAAAGTGATGAGTTGACTGTGAATGAGGTTCTGATGGCGTTTCGCTTAAGTGTTTGATGTATTCTTATTGTAGAATGGAGGTTGTGGATGCAGACATTGTGTTCCATGAGTTGAGGTGATACGATTGGTCATGATGATATGTTCCAGATATGGAGAGCATGGATGGTGGTTGGTAGACTAGGAAGAAGGTGCCGGGAGTGTAGTGGCGCCAATGGGCATTATATGTGAAAGTTCCTGACCACCAGAACCTCGTATCACTGTGAAGAGAGAGGATACGGCACATCGAGACATAACTGTCTATTGCAAGGTAGCTGGTAGTGTTCTAAGTACAAATCCAAATTGTCTACAGTTGGTAGCAGTGAGTAATTGTATGCACAAGGAAGACTTCTGACAGTAGTTTCATGGAGTTAACGCTCTTGTGTTGATTTAATATGTGACTCCAATTTGACTATGAAGTTTCCGAAACACTGTCACTACTCTAATCATGACAAACAGCTGATTCGCCTTCAAGGGATAACGAGAACTGCAAACTCATGCGTTGACAACAAATTCGAAAGCAACAGTAAGGAGATGGAATGTCCCAGGTCGAGACAATTAACCAAGCATCAAGCTACCATATCGATGTTAGATGCATGAACAAATACAATACAGAATGTCAGCTAGAAAACCTAACACATAGACCGGGTATAATTAGTCAATAATAATCGATTTGTTTTATTCGTTTGCTTTTATAATGAAGACTCACTCGTGTGTCGCTGAAACATTTGCAGACCAAAGCACAATCCTAAAATTCGCATGAACAACCAGCTATTTGTTGGATCTTTACATTTCAAAGGCAAAGGTTTTTATCACTGACTTTTAGAAATGAAGTTTGTTTCATTATAGGAATGTATTGCGGAGAAAAAATATTCTTGCTAACTCGTTCCCAAGATTCCAGTAAATATGAACTTTTAAGTATGGACCAATTATGCTCCGTTATTTTCCACGGGTTCAAAAAATGAGTCTACGCATCATTTTCCAAATACAAACTTTTCAAAGTCGTTGATGTATTTTACAGGGCAGTGAATTTATCGTGTTTCTATCGTCTTAGCTAAGTATAAAAGAGGGGTTCAGTTAGGTAGCATTTGAAGAAACGGGTCATTCATAAGTCCTGTTCTTGCCTGTTGTAGTAGTTACTGTGACAGTGTACGTATGAAAGCTGATTAAAATATAACTTGTTTGAAATAAACAAGGTAATCTAATCTCTATATTTACCACATAATACGTCGCCTAGATTATTATTATTATTATTCCCTTGGGTTCCTAGTGGAACATAGCACTTCAGTAGCACGCCTCAATTACACTCTCTTCTCTGCACTCTTTCCAACATGTCACCACGACTACACACAACCTTTCATTTCTTCCTCACACCATCTCCTACATGTCACCCTCACCTCGGACGCACAACTCGTCCTTTCCTCTTCGGATTCCACTCTAGGACCTGGTCCAGTGCGTGATGTCCCTGAACAGTTTTCTCAGTGTGTGTCCAATCCAATCCAATCCATCTCCACTTTCTGCTTCTGCATATTTGTTGGTCGGTGTGCTCTTGGTTGGTTCGTTCCCAGACTTCCTTGTTACTTTTTCTTATCATTCTGACCATCTGATCTTCAGTGTTAGTATCGAGTGAGTGTAGGTGGCAGCTGTTGATGAATGTCTGTAGTTTGTTGGAAATGCTTTTCGTGACACGCCATGTTTCTGAACCATCACATAGAAGCGCTGACTTGGCATTGGTGTTGAAAATCCTGATCATGTTAATGCTGTATACTGAGTGTAGTGGATCTCCTTTACTGGTTTCAGGTTAATGAAACCTTATCTTGCTTGCTTTTCCGATCCTGATTTTGACATCCTCATCTGTGCCTGTGCCACCACCCGTTGTTGAAACGATGCTACCTTGACTAGGTAGGTGTAGGTGAAAGAGACTACTTCGTTTAGGTTTCTCCCGTTAATGATGATTGGTGCCTCTTGTGGTTGGTGCTGTTGTTGGTTGGGTATCTTCATCTGTTGCCTCTGTCTTCTCTACATTCACTTGAAGTCCCGTCTTCGCTGCCTCACCTCTTCTGTCAACTTGTTAGTTTTCGTCTGTGGATCTTCGAGTGTTTTTCGACATTAAACATAAATCGTTGGCGAAATCCAAATCTTCGAGGTTGTTTTCAATTGTCAAACAGCACATGCCCATCATCTCGCTCCTCACAGTTTGTTGCATGATCCCGTCCAGTCGACCAGAGTCAGAAAGATGATGGGATATAGTAGGAGGCAACCTTGTCTTACCCCTGTCTCCACTTCAAAGGGTGTCACTGACCTCTCCATTGTGGATCACTTGGCATATGGTATTATATAGCGTACAGCTGTGGAATGAAGTCGATAAGGATTTGCGGTACTCCGTAGTGGTGATGCAGCTGCCTGACAAATTACTTATCAGTCGACGCCGTTGAAGGCCTTTGCAAAGTGGATGAAGTTGAAGTAGAGAGTGGACTGCCATTCTATACTCTGTTCTATGCTGATGCGTAGCGTAGCGTAGCAGTTTGGTCCACACATGATTTGCACTTTCTGAAGCCAACCAGCCTGTTCCGGTCGTAATTTTGAATGCAGCACATTGTTTAGTCTCTCCAGGATGATGCGGCATAATATTTTGCTTGATTAGGGTGTACAGGTGGGGACCATGATTCCGTGGGGGTGCTTGCAACGGCTTAGGTTTCCCTTGTTTGGGAGTTTGACAAGGTAGCCCTTCTTCCAATCAACCAGCAGGTACCTTTCCTTCCTTCCAAAGCTTCTGCAGCAATGATGTGAGCGTGTCGGCTGTTGTCTCTGCGTCTGTTTTCAGTGCTTCTTGCGGAATTTGAGGAAGACATCAGTGGCACGAAACTATACACAACATTCGGTAAGCAAATGAAAGTGGCTACCCTTGCAGAATTATCTCTGATTAAGGTTCATGCCTCAAATCTTTGTATACATACGTAACTGGTGGTTACATTGAGTCAGTCATAGTTGCTGTTTTAGTGCATTATACACGACTTAGCCTATTTTGGTGCTTTTTCCTTTA